TAATATTAATATAATAGTTGGAGCTATAGAATTTATTTATTCACACTTTGCCACTTGTCCTCTTGTCTTTTATAGTGAAAGAAAATCTGTGATCACAAAGTGCATTCAATTGTCCTATTGTAATCTGAAAGTTTTTCAACATTTTTTAAGTTTATAGGCTAGAAAGTTTATAGGTTATCTTTGAATTTGGTTTTACTTGGTATATCCTCATGATTAGATTTATATTATGGTTTTTTTAAAAAACACAAACTGTAGTACCACAGAATTGATACTGTGTACCTTCTTTGGTGCATTACATCAGGAGGCACTTGATGTTGGTATGTTCCATCATCAATCAGGTTAATAGTGACCTCTTGGTTAATGTGGTGTTTAACAAGTTGTACAAATGCTGTTTTATCCTTTCGTAATTTTTATATGTCTTTAAGGCTATATAAAACCCTGGTTACTCTTCGACTTTTATTCTCTAGTCTTAGCATCCATTGGTGATCCTCGCCTGAATCAGTGATTTCTATGATGACCATGATTTTCTCGTCACCATTAACATTTCCTTCTATTAAAAGGGAACTTTATTAAATGAGTTATAATGTGATACTCAGGGAGCTCTGGTGGCCTAGTGGCAGGAAGCTGTGCTGCAGGCTCAAAGACACAGTTTGAGGCCACCAGCTGCTCCACAGGAGAACAATGGTCAGTCACCTCCTTTGTGATTAACTGCCTCTGAAAACTTGCTAGAGGGTCAGCTATGGGCCAGTTCCTACTCTACAGTACACAGCAGTAATGTGATACTCAGATTGTTCCTCTCTCTGATCTGGGTTAATTTGAAGTGCAATTAGAGCAAATCTCTTTTTGAGCCTTTATAGCATAGAGTTAAGTCACAAGATGATTAAATGCACCAAAGATAGCAGGATCCATGACTCTCATGCTATCCCCAGCAATTTACGGTGGTTTTGCCCTCTTTCTTTGCAGGCATTCAGGGTATTGTGGATGCCTACCGCCAAGCCTTGCCCCAAATTCGCCTTTATGGCCCTACCAATTTTGCACCCATCATCAACCACGTAGCCAGGTTTGCTGCTCAGGCCACGCATCAGAGGACTGCTTCGGTAAGAGGTGTTAGTGGAGGGGATGGTCTTAGTCAAGGACCTTCTTGTCAGTTTAGAACTATGTGGCTTTAGTGTTTGGTTTATTTTGGTGGGTTTTTAAAAAAAATTTTTTTTGTATGTATGTACTGTCAAATTGGATCTGACTGGTATAGGGGGAGATTGTCCCTCCTTCTCCAGCAGAGCATCTGGTGGATTCAAACTGCATACCTCTGGGATTGCAGTGCAGCTTCTTGCCACTAGGCCACCAGAGCTCCAATGAGTGTTTGGTTTTAAAAAGTATTTTGGAGGGGAGCAGTATGAGCTGTCTACAGAGGCCCTGGTGTTTGAATGGTTATACACTAACCTTCAGTGTATTCCTTCCAGCAATACTTTGTGCTGCTGCTGCTGACCGATGGTGCTGTGACTGATGTGGAAGCCACCCGTGAGGCTGTAGTACGAGCTTCAAACCTGCCCATGTCAGTTATCATTGTGGGTGTAGGCGGTGCCGACTTCGAGGCCATGGAACAGCTGGATGCTGATGGTGGGCCCCTACGTACACGCTCTGGGGAGGCAGCTGCCCGCGACATAGTGCAATTTGTACCCTACTGCCGCTTCCAAAATGTGAGTAGGGCATCCATCTAATGTGAGGTAGAGGCCTAAGAGTTATTTTCCCTTTTACCCCATGAAATGTGCTTTTTTACCTTGGGGGAGAGTGTTATGAACTACACTTACTTGGTCCCTCTTTTCCTGACAGGCCCCCCGGGAGGCACTGGCTCAGACTGTGCTTGCAGAAGTGCCTGCACAACTGGTCTCTTACTTTAAGGCCCAAGGTTGGGCTCCCGTTAAGCCACTTCCAGCCCCAGCTAAGGACCCTTCACAAGCTGCCCAGGTCTAGCTTCCCTTCGAGGCTAAACTATAGGCAGCCATCAGTCCTGTGTCCCCAAAGACCTTTTATATACCCTGTTGCTAGCACTTTCTCTTTTTTTTTTTTTGTGTGTGTGTGTGTGTGTGTGTGTGTACACCGTCAAATCAGATCTGACTGGTACAGGAGGAGATTGCCCCTTTTACAGCAGAGCATCTGGTGGATTTGAACCGTGTGCCTCTGGGACTGTAGTGCAGCTTCTTGCCACTAGGCCACCAGAGCTCCCTTACATTTTATATTTTATACTTTTATACTTGCTCTTGCTTTTTGCTGCTCTTGATCCTTGGTCTTGTGCCTTTCATTCAATAAAAATCAAAGAAAATTACTGTTCTGTGTATTTTTGGTTGAGTGCCGCTGTTCGCTACCATTGGTTGAATTGAAGCATGCCTCTTAACATAATATGCCTTTGCTGTCGAGTAAATTCTGGCTCATAGCAAACTTCTAGGACAACAAAGTAAAATTGCCCTCTAGGTTTCTAAGGCCATAATCTTCATGGAATGCCATGTCTTTCTCAGAGGCTGGTGGATTCAAACTGCTGGCATTTTGTTCCGTAGCTTAATCCTTACTCTTTGCACAACCGCTAGCATATCAGCACCATTCAGACTAGAATTACTTATTGTTAAGAGATACTGGCACCATTTTTGGAAATGCAAAGATTAAGACACACACTGAACATAGACATAGTGGAGAGTGCTAAGCCTCAAAGTATAGCTATGTTAGACTTTGCTGAAAGGGAGAGAGTAAAATATGCTGCAAGCCTGAATTTTTTAAATAGCTAGCGAATTTATATTAATTGTTTGCAGAAAAAATTAGTGTCTATACTCACCAAAACTTACTGGCTCAATAATAACTTAATGGCTATGTATTACTTCTGTGTAAATGTACCATAGCTTATTTAGCCATCCCTTATTGATGGAGAAACTAGTCACTTCCAAATTTATTCCATTAGAAATCATGCTGTCATGAACATTGTTAAGACATTTATCTTTATACACTTAACAAAAATATTTCTGAAGGATTTGTTCCCAGAAGTGAAATGCTGTATCAGTATAAATTTTTCAAGTTTTAACAGACATTGTCAAATTGCCCACAGTGACAAAATTGATGATCTTTTTACCCATTTTATTAAACTGAAGGCCTGAAAGCCTCCAGTTTAACTTAATTATGATTAGGTGACACTTTTTTCATATATTTGTGGATTATATTTTTTCTGAGTACTTTCTGTTTTAACCTTTATCTGGTTAACTCGTGTGTGTGTGTGTGTGTGTGTGTGTGTGTGTGTGTGTGTGTGTGTGATTGTACCGTCAAATCAGATCTGACTGGTACAGGAGGAGATTGTTCCTCCTTCCCTGGCAGAGCATCTGGTGGATTCGAACCGTGAGCCTCTGGTATTGTAGTTGCGGCTCCTTACCACTAGGCCACCAGAGCTCCCCTACCTTTATCTGGTTAACTCTTGATCTCTTCCAGGTCTTGGAAAATATTTCCTCCCAGGCTGCTATCTTCATTAAAGTATCCTTTGAATTCTGTATACAGAATTCTTAATAAGGAACTTTAAAATTTTTCTTTATGTATGCCATTTTAGCTTGCTTAAAAAAAAATAAAACTATATCAATAATTATACGGTATAATATTAAACATTCCCTCAGCAACATTTCTATTGGTACTATTACTCCTTACCTACTTGAATATTAATTTTCCTATCTTTCCTTTCCAAACAAGATTGTTAAGAATTTTCTTACACAGTCTTAGAAATGGCAACTTTGTGATCAAAGCTTAGGATAAGCTTTAAGGTTTGGGGTTTGCCTCCAGAAAAGCTGTCCTAGTTCACATGTCTGACCATAGGTTTTGACAGTACCAGATAATCTTTAACACGTAACACCTCAAAATTCGAACAGGTTCAATATTGTACTTTCACACACATAACGTGTTTCAAACAAGAACCCATTACCATTGAGTCAGAACCAATTCCTAGCTGATCCTCCTGCTTTTTCCTGTTTCTCAATGGCTAATCACAGCACCCTGCTCTTCTCTGGAGCAGTTGGTAGATTCAGGCCACCTTCCTTTGTGTTGGCATCACAACTCCTTACCCACTAGGCTAAATTTCCCCTTACATGTTTAGATATACTCAGTTTCACTTCCTACATATGTAATCACTGTTAATAGTCTGTATATTCAAAAATATGAAAGCACGGGGAAGAATCCTAACAAATCAAGTTAAGCATTCTTCTCCACATTCCTACTTTGCCAAGGTAGATTTCAGCTCTTTGATGTCTTGTCTCCTTTATCCATAGTCCTCCCCTGACAGTGACTATTCCTTGGATCTGTAAATGAATTGCCCTGTTTTCTGGAGCATCTTCTCCCTTATTTGGTAACTTGAAGACAGGGGCTCTCTTGAACACAACACACTGACAGAGGGACAGGCACTCGGGTCTCAGTAAAGATTATCTGAGAAGGGACTGCCAGACCTCTGTGACTCACAGTTTCCTAGACATTCTCAAGTTGCCTCAGTTTTTTAGTGTTTTCTTGGAGTTAAGAAAAGGGAGGGGTAAGGGGTTGGGAGGTAGTTCCCATTCCACTTCCTTATGCACCTAACAAGAATTGGACTTTCCAAGAGTTCAAGTATAAGACTTGAAGAACACAAACTTGACTATAGGCTTACTGGCAGCTCAACAGTTTAGAGGCCCTTGCTCTGGCTCTGCTCTTCACTGACCATCCAGTGTCATGACCTGAGTGACTTCCCTTCTGTGGTTGTGAGGATTAAGTTAGGTGATGTATATAATGTCCAGAGCATTCCATCTAGCACATGGTAAATATTCCATAAGTCGGAGCTGTTGCTATTATAACACCCTAGACTTCTTTAAGAAAGGAGAGTTTGTGGGAGGCAGATCTCGATCTACTTAAATGCTAAAGGCAGCCAGGGGCTCCCTACTTCTGCCACTCCTGAGCAATGATAATGGCTTTCTTCAGCACAGACCTCCACTCTACTCCAGCCATCAGTATCTTTAATGAACTGCCCCTGTGGTACTGTCCCCTGCCCCCTCTGAAGTTCGCTTGCCATGGGCACGGACTCGATACAAACATGTGAAGCGGGGGTTGCCCCAGTTGCTTAGAATCTGGATCTTCACCTTGGGAAAGGCAGCTGGAGGGTCATTCTGGAGAGACAAATGGATCATGCCGTGGTCCGTCCTCCCAAGGGCTTGGCCCCCTCCTCCCTGATCTTCCCTCGCTGTCCCCACACCTGCAGATGGAAAGTCTGAATCTCAGATTTCTCCACATCGAAGGTGAATTTCCCCAAGAAAACCTCAGTCTCATCATCAACTTGGAGGCCCTGGAGGATGAAGAGGGAACAGAGAAACAGTGAGGCACAAGATCCACCAACTACCAGCAAGTTGATTTTAACTCATAGGGACCCTCTGTCAGTTTCTAAGGCTAAATGCCTTTACGAGAGAAGCTGCCCATCTTCATCTTCTCCATTGACTGTTGGACTCAAACTCCTGACCTTACAGTTAGCTAGCCAATATTTACATACTACTCCTCCAGGGCTCCTTGAGGCAACAGTTTATAGAGAAAAAACAATGTTACTAAAGACCTACATTAGCTCAATGGTTGTATATCTGTTTTTGCTTATTTACTGGTGTTGGGGATAGCGTGACACAGAAATACAATTTGAATTTTCACTTGGCCAATTAGCTGTGACCTTGAACAGGTATATGTCCTCTCTGCACACTAATTTCCTCTCCCATAGATTTAATGTACTATTAAAAGCTAAAAATAGTTTAAGATAACTTCATTACAAAAGTATTCAGCATTTTTTTCCCTTGGTTTTAAAATTTACAGGCAAAAGTTGAAAAAATGTGAAAGGGGTTGTTTGGATAAATGACAGGATTTATGTGATAAGCTGGGTGCAAAGTAAGCAATAATTAAGTGCAGCCAAAGGTACCCCTTGGAAGCATGGATGGTGAAGCTTTGTCTTTGAAATGTTGAACATGTTGCTTGGAGAAGCAATTCCTTGGATATCATGCTTGGAAAAGTGAAGGATCAGTGAAAGAGGCAAACTGTCAGCCAGAGGAATTGATAGACTCCAGCAATGGATGAATGAATGTCTAAGTGAGGAGGATGGCACTGGATAGGACAAAATTTAGTTCATAGGATCTCTATGGGTCATAAATGTCTAATGGAGACCTAACAACAATTGTGGGGAGCTCTGGTGCCCCAGTGGTTAAGGCAGTTGTGCTACTAACCCAAAGGCACCCAAAGTGGTTCAAATCCACTAGGGACTCAGGTGGAAAGATGGGCAACTTACTCCTATAGGAGGAAGTTTCAGAAGATCTGCCAGAGAGTCAACTAAGAGTCAATTCTGGCTAGACGGCACATAGCAGTATTTGGTTGTGGTTCTGATCATCTAGCACCCACAGCAGCCCTGAGGAGCAAGTGGTAATAATCCATTTTATAGATGAACAAGCAAAGACTCAAAAGCACCAGTGACACCTTTGAGCTTTCTAGGCAAAACACCCCCAGTTCCCCATCATCTTGGCCTCAGCCCCACTCACATAGACTGCGAAGTCACGGGGGGCACTGCTAGCTTCCCCGGTGTGTGCCACGCTGGGCGGTGGATGCTGCAGGGTGATGCCGCTCAACTGCACGAGACCTGGAAGCCGAATCACCACCTGCCCCTGGTCACCCTCAAAAGCCCAGCAGTTTCCAGGGAACACATCTGGCTGTAAGTGCACGGATAAAACCCTCAGAACCCTCATTCTGAACGACCCCACTCCCCCATCTTTAGACCAAGTACAACACAGCCCAAAGTCCCTCCTCAACCAGACTCCACCCTCTTCAGAGGGTGGACAGATCCTACAGCCAGCTTCTAGTCCTTCCCCAGCGAGCGTCCCCTCGGGAACCAGATTGGAAGCCCACCTCCAGGATGACTGTGGGTGGCCGTGCATAGTTCCAAAAGCTGAAGCGGTTCCAGAAGTAAGCGGTGGCTGTGTCCTCGTAGTCGTGGGATGTCTTCTCTAGGTCAATGGAGGCTCCTGATCCGGGGCAGGGAGAAGATGGGGCGTCAGCTGGGTAAGGTCTGGTGCAAGGCTGTCTCTTCGCGCCACTTGACCTGTATCCTGTTCTTCCTAACCAGCTCCCAGTGTCTTCGGACCTTACCCACTGAACTCAGCGCATAGTCTGGCTTCCGCACAAAGTCCTCATTCAGTCTCTGGAACACGAGCTTGGCCACTCTCTAGAAAGGGCAAGGGCAGGGACTGACCAGCGGGCTTGAGAACTTAACTTTTGGGGTCGCCGGGTTCTGTGGGATCTTGGCTGTCTGGTGGACTCAGTAGACTCCAGGCCCCAGGAAGCGGGCTCAGCAAGGGATTTCCATCACAGCATGGGGCTCACCTCACTGTTAGTGGTGCGGAAGCTGGACACCTCCTTGTGGAGTTTCTCTAGCTCCGCCTGGAGATGCTGCAGCTGCTGGCTCTGGGCACTAAGGCGCTCATGGTACTCTCTGGAGAGGACAGCTTGGTGTTCAGGGACTGCCTCTGCCTTGCTGGAGAACTCCCCCGAGGCCCCCAATTTTCCACCCCAGGGGCCCTCTTTCACCTCATAGTCAGTATCTCCTTAGGTTCCTAGTGGGAGGGAGGGACAAAATACAGGGATACTTAGTCCCCTACCCCCAGACTTAATCAGCTAGACTCAGCACCCCTTTTCTAAAGATTGCACACCGCACTTTTCCCCGACTTCCCAGGATCACAGCATGAGACCCTCTGTCTCTCTAAGCACAATCCCTTAGAATCTGATCCAGCTGTCTCTTAAGATTATAGTATCAGGCACTGCCCTCCCCCCACCTCCCCCAGAAGCCTTCTGGACTCAGCACCTGCCATTGCCCCACCCAACCCTAAGAACCCTCACTCACATGCTGCAATGGAGGAACCAGATACAGGAGCCCCCACCAGAGAACTGGAGTGAGAAAGGGGATGTCAGAGGAAGGGAGGAAATGGTTTCATTGGCATATAGGGGCAATGAGAGGAGATCGACCCTCAGGTGGACTTTGGAGATGCGAGGGGTGACTAGAGTGCTCAGCGATGACTGCTGAGGGAGGGACACAGGAAGGGGGCTGCACGCATTTGGCTCTGGACCATACAAAGCTGGGGCTGGATTGCCTCCCTCTATTCTCGGGGAATTCAGCGCCCCTTCACCTGCCAGAAAGAAGCTCAGTAGCGACACAGCGATGAGCAGGAAGCGGATGGAACATACTTCCCTGTGAAGAAAGGAGGGATCCTGAAGCCCCTCAGACACCTCCCCCAGTAACCACAACACGCACTTAGACCCAACTCCTGTGAACGCAAGATCTAGACGGGTTCAAGCCTCAGTCACTCTAGCTCTGCTGGCCTCTTCCCTCCTCCCCATTTTCCTGCCCCCCCGCCCTCATTAAACTCGGCTTCCAATTCCCTCTCTCTGACCTGTATACACAGACCAGCAGAGATAACAGCACGCTCCGGACCTGGAAGAGATGGCCTGAAGAAAGGGGAAGGAGTTCAGGGAGGGGGCTGGGGCTAAGAAGGGCAGGGGAGGAAGGAGGGAGCATTGAAGTTAGAAAACGGACTAAGGAAAAAGTACCTAGAGCTCAGGAAGAGATGGCAAGGGCAGCAAGAATTAGACGGTAGCGAGAACGGACTCAGAAGAGGATTGAATTCTGGAAAGGGGCAGAAGTCTCAAGATGGGTTTAGGGGCTCAAGAATGAGACTTGAGTATCAGAGATGAGCATTGGCGAGAGAAGCCGAAGGCTCAGAGGAGGATGAGGTCGGTCTGGCCTTGCTCTTACTCAGGAAGCTCTTGGACACCCGCGAAGTAGGAGGCATCTCTGGCCTCAGATCCAGGGTCGGGAGAAGGTCGAGCTGCTCCTCAGAGACTACAGGAGACGCAGACTGTTCTGCGGGAGCCCAAGGACTCCATTGGGGTCTTGCGCATCGCGGGCCTGCTCTCCCAGGGACCGGCTTCAGGTTCCCCGGCCTCCTTCAGGCTTTGGCACCCACCCACATGCCAGTGCCAGTTCTCTCCCTGCACAGTGAAACTCCGCCCCCAGTTGCAGGCCTTGGTACCGCCCACTTCACTGGCAGCTAATCACATTATCATCGAGGCGATGCCTCCTCAATAATGCCCAATCATAGAGCTTTTCCTGCCCCTTCTCGGTCCAACACGTATGGCCCCGCCCCCAAAAGGGAGTTTTCGGTAATACCTCTCTCCCCACACCTGTAGGCCCCTCCCCCAGGCGGTGCCCACACAGAATGTGATTCCTACTCCAGGCTAGGCCCCGCCCCCTGAGGACCCGCCCCCTCCCCATCTTACCAGGGCTCGACCCCGCCCGCACCCGAGGCCCCGCCCCTCACGGTTGCAGCGCTACGGGCCGTCGGCCCCTTGTGGCTCCGGGGCGCCGGCTTCTGCCGAGAGTTTCCAGGCCATGTGGTTCCTTCGGGCAGTGCTGCGTTCAAGGCGGGCTCACCGCAGCTTGAGCCCCGGGTTCTTCTGCCCTCGAGCTCCCCAGAGCCCGGCCCAGCTGACCGGTGCCCCTTGCTGGCTTCCGATGTGGAGCTCTCTGAGCTGTTGTCGTTGTCACTGTAGAAGTTGAGTGTATGGTTGTGCGGGGCCGCGCTGGAGCCCGAACGGGGGCTTCGCCGCATCTTGACCCCTGCTCTCCCCCCTCACAGACGCCAAAGTCACCGCGGGAGCGGCTAAGGCCCTCCGGTGCGAGTTGCCCGGACCTTCCGGACCCTGCCCTCTGCCCGTGTATCTGTGCTCTGCGATCTCCGCAGAACGTCCTGACTGGACGTCACAGAGTTGGCCATGACGTCACAAGGAATCATGCATGCTAGTCCTTTTTACTCTTTTTGACATTATAACGCAAGCAATAACATTATGAGACTTTCCTGAGATCCTATCTAACTTCGCACCAGCATGAAACAATTTGTTTCCCTTCCTGCTTTGTTTTTCTCCTCAGCAGGAAAAGGCCAAAACACTGCAAAATAAGAATTTTTATGAGTTTCCTCTAGCCTAGCCACCCTTGTTTGACTGTGAATTCCTTTGGGCCCCAGTGACCATGGGACGATTGTCTTACCTGCACCATGCTTAGAACAACTTATCCCTCTTTTTGGATATGTTAGGGATTAAGTGGTCCCAACTCAATAATGACAGTATGTATGTATAATAGAACAAAACATCAGTTCTGCAAGGTCCTCACTATCACTGCTATGTTTGAAACCATTGCTGCAATCAATGTGTCAATCCATATCCTTGTTGTTGAAGGTTGGAACTTGCTGACTGGTCCCTCCATGGCACATCCAAAGTACATGAAAAAAACGCTCACTTCCAAAAAGTATTCTGACTGTACTTCCAAGACAGATTTGTTCATCCATAGTGGAATCAGTATTCTTCATGATAATTCAAAAGCACTGATTTCCCGCCCCCCCCCAAGACTTTCCTTATTAATTATCCATTTGCTTTTAGGTAGTGCCCTCCAAAACACTTGAACCCCAATACCTGGAAACTGACAAAACAAGGATTTCCATCCCAGTATTGACAAGGAGGAACCATGTATGGGTGGAGGATATACACAAGACCCAGCTCCTCTGATTCTGTCTAATCTTACCTGGTCTTGCTGCTTGATACATTCCTTGTACTCAAACCAAAATTAACAAATCACATAGCCCTGAACACACCCAGTATTCCTCTACATTGCCTGGAATGTTTGTCTCTACTCCCAATTCCTATCCCAAAAGCACATTTTTAAACAACCAACCCCTCTGAGGAATACCTGGCTGGTACAATTGATTAATGTTTTAGGCTTCTAAGATGAAAAGTTGGAGCTTTGAATCTACCTAAGAAGGAAACTTGCTGACTTCCAAAAAAAATCAGTCCTTGAAAACGTGGAACATGTTTGTTCTCTGACACAAACGGAGTCCTCATTGGGGTCAAATAAATGGCAACTGTTCTGCTCAGTCTCTTTGGCAGTATTCCCTTCATAACATTTGCTGCATGCCAAAGGCTATTGTAAGCACTTCCTTCAGACTTCCCCCCACTGCACCCCCTGACCCTTTCTTCCATGATGATGATTGCAGTGTGGGTATTAGAATAGAAGGCACAAAGCACATCTGATTCACCCATTGGCTGTATTCCCTTCCTCCAAGGTAGCTTAACACAAGTTCTGTACATGAGAAGTGTCATCAAGTAGAACGATTAAGTGGATGGCCTTAAATGTACTCAACACTGTTACTTTCATCTATGAAAGATTTAATGAACCTTGGTAGAGCATAAAGTTACATGTTAGTCTGGAAGACTAGTTGGTAGAATCTGTGGGAGAAAGATGAAGCAGTCTTTTGACTTGAAGATAGTGGGGAGTTTTTGTTTGTTTGCTTGTGGTTTTTGTTTTGTAGAGGAGGATTTTATAAAGGATTCAGATGAGGGGGTGCAGTCATTCAACATTATACCTCTATCTAAAGGTCAAAGGGTTATTCACTTACACTAAAAATACATACATATTGGTCCTTGAAGAAGGACATTATGCTTGGAAGGGTGGAAAAACAGCACAGAAAAGGAAGACCCCAGATGAGATGGATTGATAAGGTAACTGGGGCAATGGGGGTTGCTGTGTCAGAATTAGTGAGACTGACAGCACAAGGCAGGGTTCAGAGCTGCTGTACATAGGGTCACAGGTGATTCCACGGCATATAACAACAACTTTCACTCAATAAATGTGCTGCCCCCTTGCTCCACTGATGCTGGCAGTATGATTTAGTTGTTAGTCCACCCAATGTGCTGAAGGCATACAGTGTGCACGGCATTAGGAACAGAAAGATTAACAAGAACAATGTGAGATCCATGTCCTTGAGGTCACATAGGGACCAGACTGGGTCCTGTCCTTTCCCATTCCTTCCAGCCTTATCTTGCCCTAGCTCCAACCCACAAGAATGCGAGATGGAAGCTGAAGCACTTCTACCAATTGGCAGCTACTGCAAGAAGGTGAGTGGACTATAGGGACCTCACCCCCTTCTCGTCTTCATCCTTACCCTCCTTACCCATGATCCCCAGTCCTGCTGGCTGTTTGTTTGACTAAAGGGTAGGGATTGCTGAGCCTGTTGAGTGAGTCCAATGAGTCAGAGGCGATTCAAGTGGTCAGGAGGGCAGAGAGAGAGAGAGTCAGTGGCACTGGGGCCATGGCTTTGACTGTGTGCGTACGGCGACTGACAGGGCTACCGGGCCCCCATGATCGACAAGTGAAGCTCTGCTTTCGAGGTGAGGCCTACAGAGGTGTTCTAAAGAATTTTGGAAGTGGAAGGCTCTGGTTCTCTACAAAGTGTTCTCTTTAATCCCCTTCAAAGACAAAGCCCAACATCTCTATCCTTCTACTTTCTTCCCTCTCCATCTTCTATTCTGACATTTCTTTTAGAGTGTGTTCAGCATGGAAACACTGAACCCTGGACCAATAGTGGTGGTGCTGGGGAATGTTCAGTTTTTTCGAGAGGGACTGATTAATGACTAGTCTCAGCTCTGAACAGGTTTTACTCAGAAAACAAGGAAATTTCACTGCAGTCGAGAAGCAGTTATTGGTGAGGTCAGTAGCCCTAGTTTTTTGATGGGATGAAATTGTGCTTAAAACCAAGTCCATGTTGTGGATGGGAGGTTTATTACTGGTTGTGGGTTGGTTTAATCTCAGAAAATGGGGCAAAAGAAAACTTGGGACAATCAGTACCCACAATGGGGAGATTCATTTTTGTTTGGCAGTTGGCCCCAAATCAACCATAGTTTAGAGTCAACTATGTTGGAGGGATTGGTTCCAGGTTTGGGTGGTCCTTAAGTTCATGTCAATTTAGCCCCCCTGCTTTGGTAGTAGGCTCTGGGTTGGGAGTCAGGGTCACTTTAGCACTGGGTGTCTCAAGCTTCTCCTAATCCTTAGCTGTTCCGTTGGCCACACTATGGGGCTCCGTTGGCTGGGGAATGTCTGTCTGTGAAGGTGATTAACTGCAGCCGTGTGTTCAGCCCCAGGTGAGCAAGCAGCCTAGAGGTACCCAAAGGCTAGGTTGCAGATCAGACAGTACTGACTTAGTGCCATTTCTCTGGGTCATGCTGCTGTGCCCTGCCATTCTCCCAGGACTCTAGGAACTCTGGTGATCTCCCTCCAGCAGCTGGAGACTGCTGGACGCTTGGTGCTGCGAGAGGCCCTCGTGGATGAGAACCTACGAGTGTCCCAGGTGAGCCTCACCACTCTTCAATTTGCCACCTCTAAGCCTGAGAAAATTTCTCAGGAGGGTTCTGTTCCTCACAGGGTAAAATCCAAAACTTAGACAAGAGTGTTAAAACAAGGCTCTTTTCATTCAGTCAGGGATCTTTTTATTTTACCTCCTAATTAATTTTCATAGGAGACACAAACTAGATTCAATTCTGAGGGTAGGGGTAGAAGAGGGGAGATAAAGCATTTTGAGCTGGCCCTTGATCCAACATCACACTCAATTCTTGTGAGGGGCAAAGATTAACCCTGCTGGATTTTTCTGTTTGTTTTATTTCCATGTTATTGTTATTGTTTTGTGCTGTTGAGTTGCTTCCAACTTATAGCGACCCCTACGTACAATAGCTCCGGAGCCAACCTCACTGTCTCTGACACATCTACTCCCATTGATCCAGTTACTGTGTCAATCCATCTTATCTGGGATCTTCCTCTCCTGCACTGTTCCTCTACCTGTCCAAACATGATGTCCTTCTCCAAGAACTGGTCCTTCTTGGTCACATGCCTCAAGTATGTGAGGCAGAGTTTCAAAATCCTTGCTTCCAAGGAGCTGCCTGGTTTCACCCTCTATAGGACAGATCTGTTTATTCTCTTGGCAGTCCATAGTATATTGAATACTCATCTCCAGCACCATAACTCAAAGACATCTATTTTTCTTCTATCATCCTTATTCATTATTCAGTAAGGATGAGTATAACATAGTGGAGATGGATCTGCTGCTTTTCAGCTGTGAGAATTGGACACATTCCTTAGCTTCTTTTATTTCTTTCTTTATCCACCAAGTGCTATGTATGCCATGCGTGATAAAAAAAAACAGACCAGATCTGGCTTCTTGGAGCTCCCTAACTAAAGAAGGAAGCAAACATTTAAAAATATCTACACACAAAAAAGAAAGAAAGAAAAAATAAAAATATCTACACAGATAAGTGTAAAACTGCACCTGAAAAGTGCTACAAAAGAGCTAATAGACACTGAAAAAGAAAACTTCTTTGTAGACCAGAGAAGGTTCCAGAAGAGGTGCCTGAGTTAGAAACTGAAGGATGATAGGAATTCACTAGCTAGGCAGAAAGAGTGTTCCAGCCAGAGGGACTGACATATGAAAAGCCTAGTGCCCTAAAGGGGCAGAGTTGAGGTACTCAGCCCAACAGAACCCAGTGTGATACAGGGCTGGGAAAGTGAGCAGGAATCAGACCATGTTAGGGATGGTGGAGGTCAGAGTAAATCCAAGAGCAATGATGGAATTTGGCACTACGTTCCACTTCCTTAAAAGGTAACTTGCTTATTATATGTTCTTAATAGATTATAGTAGTCAATATTATGGCAGAAACTACATACATGGATATATTTGTGTATATGTAGTCCACTGTTTTTCAGTATTTAAAAGAAATTGTCCTTGCACCTCTTTTAGCTCATGGGAAATATGAGGGTTCTCTGGTAGCATAGTCCCTTAGGGGTACTGCTTAGCCCAAAGACCAGGCAGGCTTCTGTAATAGTTTGAATCCACCAGGAGGATCCATGGAGGAAAAATGGACAATCTCCTGTCATGCAATTTACAGCCCCAAAAAACCCACTGGAGGGTCAGCTATAAAGTCACTTCCAACTTGACAGCAATGACTTTGATAAGGTAAACTGAGTACCTGGTTTTAGATCCAGGTGGAGCTTGACCTGAAATACCAACCCCCAGAGGGGGCCACTGGGACCTGGGCAGAGGAAGACTTTGGAGCACCAATCCGGGACAGGTAATACTTCCATCAGCCTCAGTAAGTCCTGGTGATCCCAGTCCAGGCAAGCCCTGGGGGGTGGTATTGGTACCCAGGTGCACTCTGGGTCTGCTGGGAATTGTGACTGTTGCACTTGCTAACCTGGTTGCCGCTCTATATAGCAAACACGTCATTTCTCTTCTAGCTCTGAGCTGATCGTCTCCAATGTGGGCTTCCAGGAGCTGTCGTGAGTGTACAGGGGTGCCTAGGATCATTTGAGTCAGTCTCTGGATCACTGGGGTCAGCCAATGTCATGGCTAGCCCTCTTGAGTCATGAGCTCATTTTGGGTAAAGGGATTAGTTCCCAGGTCAAAGAGTCAATATTGATGTTAGAGGTCAGCCCTCGTATCAAAGATCAAATATGCATTAGAAGGATCAGTGCCAGGGTTAGGGATCACTGGGGTCAGTCTAAAGGGTTGTCCTGGGATCAATGGTGTGCAGTTCTAAATCTATAGGCCAGTTCCAGACTCAGAGTCTGGACTTTGAGGTCAGTGGGGTCAATCCTAGAGTTGGATGAAAGATAGAGCTCAGACATGATTTGAGAGTATTTCCTATCAGGCCTGGAGAGGCCCGGCTGGAGCGACGGGCAGTGGCTTTGGGTCGCAAGCTGGCTCGCAGTCTAGGCCAACAGGATGATGAAGAGAACGAGCTGGGGCTGGAGCCGGAGCTGGAGGACGAGCCTGAGGTGGAGCTTTCCTGTGTGGTGTTCAGCCCCCTCAAGAGGTAACTCATGTTCATTGCACACCTGACCCAAATCTATCAGGGAGTCAGTACCATGTGCTTATACAATCACAACCTCATTCATCCACAACACAAACACCTGCCCAAGGTTGAGAGTCACCAACAGGCACAGATGCTACCACAGTCACACTTATGGCTACCCACACTCACATTCAGCTTCTGTTGATGAAAATTTTATAACGAATTTTAGGGTTTTTTCCCCTACGGTGTCACCCCCAGTGCCTAGCACAGTGCTGGTACATGGTAGGTGCTCAAGACATGGGTGTTAAAAGAGTGTATCATTTTAGGGCTCCAGGGATGAGTCAAATTTGGGGTGTATGGTGAGCAAGGAGGCAATAGAAACCCCAGGGAGCCAATTTCAAAGTTCACAGGGAGAGGAGGCCTCAGCTACTGCGGATGAGGGCAAGGAAGAGCCGGTGGAAAAGAATGGGGAGGTTGATGCAGAAGGCTGAGAGTGGTTAACTCTAATTCTTTCGGCAGTCGAGCTCGGAGCCTGGCCCGCGGGGATCCTTTTCAACTGCCCAGAGCCCAGGACTTCCAGGTAGTTTCCCTCTCCAGAAAAACCTGGGCTCTCCACAAACATTCCTCTCTGGACCCCATCTGGGCCAGCAGGCTTTCCTCTCCTTCCCTCATTTCCTCTGTAGGTTGGAGTCACAGTGCTTGAGGCCCAGAAGCTGGTGGGAGTCAACATTAATCCCTACGTGGCTGTGCGCGTTGGGGAGCAGCGCCGAGTAACTGCCACACAGCGCGGGACCAATTGCCCCTTCTACAATGAGGTGGGAACGGTGAAGGGAGCCCCAGGGACTCAGAAAGGGGACCTTCGAGAGGTGTGACCTAAGTGACAGCACGCTAAGGGGCGGGCCTGAAGATAAAAGAAGGAGACTAGGGATGGTCTAGGTTTATGCTGGGCAAAGACGCAAAGAAGTGGGGGGTGGGGCAAAGAGGGACTCTGCAAAAGGTAGGTGCAAAGAGGCAAGCCTCTGTGACCTTCTCTCGCCTTCCTTGTCTCCCTTCTGCAACCCAGTACTTCCTATTCGAATTTCATGACACCCGGGTTCACCTCCAAGACTTGCTGCTGGAGATCACGGTGAGGGAGTTTGGGGGGTGAGGGCTTTCCATCAAAGGAGGTGAGGGTGCGTGTTCCCCAGTTCTAGGACGGACATTCTTTCCTCCAGGCTTTCCATTCGCAGACCCTCCCCTTTATGGCCACCAGGATAGGCACCTTCAGGATGGACCTGGGCATAGTCTTCGACCAGCCAGGTACAACACCCTCTAGGCACTAGCACTAGACCCCAGACACGAGCTTCTGAGGAGTCGTCATTCCCAGAGGCTGACCTCCTCACACTCAATTCTCCCCGGTCATTGGGGTTTCTTCTGATGCATGACCCTGTGCCTCCAGATGGTCACTTCTACCAGAAATGGGCTCCTCTGCACGACCCCCGGGACACCCGCGCTGGGACCAAGGGTTTCGTCAAGGTCACCTTGTCAGTGAGGGCGCGCGGAGATATGCCCCCTCCGCTGCCACCGCCGGCCCCGGGGCGCAGTTCGGACATTAAGAAGTGAGCCAGAGCCGGAGGACTGGGGGACGGGCCTGGCCGCGGCTAGTGAGGTGGGTCGCGAGTGGGAGGGACGTGGCCCGCGGCTTCCCTTCCCTCACGGTCTCTGCACAGGAACCTGCTGCTGCCGCGAAGGGTGCCCGCCGAGCGGCTGTGGGCGCGGCTCCGTGTGCGCGTGTACCGCGCGGAGGGGCTGCCCGCGCTGCGCCCGGGGGTGCTGGGCAGCCTGGCCCGTGTCCTGAGCGACCAGCGCGTCCTCCTGGACCCCTACGTGCGGGTGTCTTTCCTGGGCCAGCAGGTAAACCCCTCGCGTCCCCAACCCGCCGCGGCCCGGGTCCTGCTTTTCCCTCTGCGCGCTTTCCTTCTGTCTTCTCTGCGGTCCGCAGGGTGAGACGTCGGTGCGCAGCGAGGCTGTGGCGCCGGAGTGGAACGAGCAGCTGAGCTTCGTGGAGCTCTTCCCGCCGCTGACGCACTGCCTCCGGCTGCAGCTGCGGGACGACGCGCCGCTGGGGGACGCGGCCCTGGCCACGCACGTGCTGGACCTCAGGCAGATCTCGCATCCGGGCCGCGCGGGTGAGCTGCCCACTGGGGCGCAGACCCAGCCGCAAGCTCCTTCGGGATTTGTCTCCGTGCCTCGGGGCCCCAGTCCAGCTTGTCTTCCACTCCTGCCAGTCTTCTCTGCCCTTGCTTTGCATTTATCCGGTCTGCTCCACATCTGAGCGATTCTTCAGAACCTCGCCTTTCGCCCCCGGATCGCACAACCACCCTCAGTTTGGCTCTGTTGGTAAAATCCTAACCCTTAGCCCCATGTCCAGTAATCCGTACCACCTGGTGTTCTCTCCAGATTTATATTCACAGAAACAAGTGCGCCCACCTGACTCAGTTTACCTAGTCAGGCACTGTTACCTCTGCCCCCATCTTGACCCCATCCGCAGGCCCTGGTAGCTCTTCCCACGCGCCTTTCATAGGTAGGCTGGATTAGAAGTGCTTGCAGGCTGGTACACAGACTCTGTCCTCCCATCCCAGAGGGTCTGAGCCCCAAACTGCACCCATCCTTAGGAATTAGCAGAGATAAGAATCCATAAACTTATTGAGTACCCACCTGCGCTAACGTCCCTCCATAATACCGTTCTTGCCTCCACAGCGGGGTTCAAGCCCACCTTTGGCCCGGCCTGGGTGCCCCTCTATGGCTCACCCCCGAGTGCAGGACTCCGGGATAGTCTTCAGAACCTCAATGAAGGCCTTGGACAAGGTGTTTGGTTTCGAGGCCGCTTGTTGGTGGCTGTGTCCATGGAAGTATTCGAAGGGAGAGCTGAACCCGAGCCTCCGCAAGCCCAGGGGTCCAGGCTATCCCGCCTCCCTGGGAAGAAGAAGAAGAAAGCCAAGCCAAGCCAGTCCCCAGAGGGGCCCGAGGTTCCTAGCGCGATGGAAGTGGAGGTGGAGGAGGTTCTGAGGCTGCCAGAGGTGAAGGCTGGTGCTGGGCAAATGGGGCGGGTCAGGAATTAAATACCATGAGTTCTTGTGCACCTTCGAGTCAGATTTGACCCATAGCTGACCCTCTAGTGGGTTTTCAGAGGTAGTAAATCACACAGGAGGTGAATGCTTGTCTTTATCCCATGAAGAAACTGGTGGATTCCAACAGCGCACCTTTGGGATTGCAGCACAACGTCTTACCACTGGGTCACCAGAGCTCTCAAAACACCATGAGGAGGGTCTCTATTTGGTGCCTGGGAGAGAGAGGCCTGCAGTGTGTATGCACAGGACCGTGTGCCTGTGTACGTATGTGTGACCAACCAGAAGTGTGCCAGCTCCATGGGATGGGCTCTAAAGGGAGCAGAGAATTTTCTAGGTCTTTGATGGCGTAAGAGGTTGAGCTGCTAATCCAAAGGCAGAGCCTCTCTCTGGCGGTTCAAATCTAGTAGCCATCAATTCAATGAGAGAAAGATAGGGAATCTCCTCCCGTGCGAGTGACAGCCTCTGAAGACCTGTAGAGTTAACTCTGAGAGTCAATGAGTGTTTTGGTGGCAATGGCTTTCTGTGACTGCCACCGTGGCCTGTGCAGATGGGCGCTTATGCCAGTATGACCCACCTTCCCCAGAATGCCTTGGCGCCCTGCGAAGATTTCCTGCTCTTTGGTGTACTCTTCGAGGCCACGATGATCGACCCCACCATGGCCTCCCAGCCCATCAGCTTCGAGATCTCCATTGGTGTGCCACCCAGCCCTACCCCTGAGATCATGGGTCTGAGGGTGGGCACTCGTTGCTTTGGATGTCAGGTCCTGGGAGGGAAACTTAGGGAAAGGTAAGACTGACCCTCAATGACTCTTGTTCTCTAGGTCATGCAGGTCGCCAGGAGGAGCAAGTAGGCCAAGGCGTCAAGGCAAAGGAGGGATCTGAGGGCTCAGCAGGGGAGGAGCAAGCCCTGCTGGAGCCGGATGCTGATGCTGGGGATGAGCTGGAGGAGGTGGGGACCCCAGCTCAGCGGCCAGAGCCCATGGACGGCAGTGGGTGAGTGATGAGCGGGAGAAGAGCACTGGGAGGACCCGAGGTCAGGAGTCCGGTACTGTTCCCCACAGCTTCTGTTCCTCTCTGCCTGGCCCAGGCCCTACTTCTGCTTGCCCCTGCGTCGCTGCAAGCCATGTGTGCGCATCTGGAGCCGCTGGGAGGATCACACGTGGCGCCTGCTGAGCAGCAACCTCCTGCGCAAAGTGGCAGAGAGGCTGGTGAGAGTGGGGCTCAGGCACATGGAGAGCGAGGAGGGAAGCCAGGGGTTGGACTAGAGGGACATCAGGAAGACTGCAGACTTTTGAAACAAAAAACTCAATTCACTGACTTAGGGCAGCCCTTCATTGGTTTCCAGGCTGTATGTAAGTCAAGGAAGCAAATTGTTGTCTCTTTCTCCTGAGCTACTGACCTTTCAGTTAGCAGCCCAACACACCATGCATTAAGCCATCACGAGTCCTTTGAAGTCTTTGATGAGAGCGTTTGAAATACATTGTTGGCAAAGAATATTGACTCATCATGGATGGCCAGAAGAAGGGACAGGTCTGTTTTGGAGAAAGAACAGGGTTAAAGACTCTGTCTCTCTTACTTTAGGCATGTCTTCCAAACCCATAAACCCCTTGCCATCAAGTTGATTTTGATTCATTACAACTCTGAAGGCAGAACAGAACGGCCTCAGAAAGTTTCTGAGGCTATAAGTCTTTACAGAAGCCGATTGTCATATCTTTTGTTCAAAGGAGTGAGTGGTTAGTGGGTTTGAACTGCCAAGCTTTTGGGCCAGCCCTTAACCATTGTGCCACTGGAGCTCCTAGGCCTTGTCATCAGGAAGGAATAAGCAAGAAGGACGTTATGCTTGGTAAAGTAGTAGTAGTTGTTGTTGTTGTTGTTGTTGTTGTTGTTGTTGTTATGTGCCGTCAAGTCGCTTGCAACTCATTGCAACCCTATGTATAACCACTCTGAACCCTGCTCTATCTTCAGCCAATTTCATTGTTTCCTATACCCCTAACCCCAATACCCTAGTCACTGAATTAATCCATTTTATCCAGGTTCTTCCTTTTTTGTGCTGTCCCTCCACCCTTCCAAACATGATACTCTCCAAGGACTGGTCCTTCCTGGCAACCAGCCCAAAGTATGTCAGATGGAGCTTCAAAATCCTTGGGTCAATGAAAATGATCATTTATCCAGAGGTTACAGCAATGAACTCAGATTTATACCTACTTTTTTAAAAATTTTATATTTTATTATTTTTGCATGTGTACCATCAAATCGGATCTGACTGGATCCAGTACAGGAGATTGTCCCTCTTTCTCCAGCAGAGCATCTATCTGGTGGATTCAAACTGCACACCTCTAGGGGAGCTCTGGTGGCCTAGTGGCAAGAAGCTGTACTGCAATCCCAGAGGTACACGGTTCAAATCCACCAGATGCTCTGCCGGAAAAGGAGGGACAATTTCCTCCCCTACCAGTCAGATCTGATTTGACGGTACATGCACAAAAAATAATAAAATAAAAAAAAATTAAAAAAAAAAAACAACTGCACACCTCTGGGATTGCAGTGCAGCTTCTTGCCACTAGGCCACCAGAGCTCTGATAGTGCATAGAGTTCTTATGCCTTGACTTGAGGCACCTAACAACGGCTAGCAGGGTTAATGGGTAGAAAACTAGGGAGCCCTGGTGAAAGGCCAAAAGATGGATTCCAAAGAGCATAGTTTCTGAGTGAACTGAAGCAACCAGAAGTGGGAGGTCAGAGATCCAGAACTGTTGAGTCTGGGAAGGGATGTACTAAAGGAACATGCCAGAGCTGTTGAGGGATAGGCCCCACTGGAGAGACAAGAAAAGTGGAGCCAAGAATCCTGGGGGGGCAAGGAAATGAGGGGCTATAGAATAGATCATGAGTGAGGGAGGACTTTCACAAAGGTATGAGCTAACAGGTGCCCCAACTCTGACCCTCTATTCTGGTTGCCCAGGACCAGGGGCTTCAGGAGACTGAGATGTTGCAGCGCAGGCCAGGACCCAGTGCTTGCATACGACTCAAGCAGTCACTGGAAGAACTGGTGGCTGGGAGCAGGTGAGCCGAGAGTACGTCTTCATTGTCATCTGTCCCCTGTACCAACTCTAGGGTGAGGGGTACCTATGGACTCAAAGAGCTAGACAGAAATTTGCTTAAAATTGTATAGAAAAATAAGAAGGAATTGATTTTATATTGAAGGGAGTTCATGGAGGGGTGGAGATTATTAACTCCCTGGATCAGCTGGCACCTCTGTTGCCTTCCACTTCCATTATACTCCCTTGCCCATACTCCTGGAGACTTAAGCCTCATCTCCTTTCCTTGATCTTCCCCTTCTCCAATCCTCCTGGAGAAAACAAATGCCTTACCTTCCTGCCATCCAGTTTACCTATTTGCTGGTGTCTGTATCGATATACTCTTCTTTTTTCCTGCTAGATCAAGGAAGTATTTCTCCCCCTAAATCCCCAGCTGTGATCTTGATTTCATCTCCTATCATTTATTGGAGGCATTAGTTCTACAATTGCCCTCATTCTCTCCCACAGCATCAACTGGTGCCTAGTTACCACTTTATTACTTAAGTACATAAACATGTTCTGGCTGAGTACATTTTTTCCTTCACTGCCCTGAATTCCATAACCTGCCCCAGGTACTTTAGAGTTCTAGGCCTTTTCTAAAAATGGTTACTACAACCACTTGTCTGTCAGTTTGCTGTACTGTGACTTGCATGGTACGGTGGTGCTAGGTAGGAGCTATGGCACCATTATTTCAAATACCATCAAGGTCATCCTTGGTAGATAGGTTTTAGCTGAGCTTCCAACACAAGACAGACCCATTTAGAGTAGGGTCAGCATTAAGGACAGTATTAGGGAGAGCCTCACCTTAGAGAGATGGTTAGAAACAGAGTTAGGAACAGCTTCAGAAACACGGATAACATTATATATTAACTTACTATTTTCCAGCCATTTGCTTGAGTATAGCTTTATGTATTTATTTGCCTTTTAAACTTTCCTTTCTCTAATTAACTCTTCAAAAACTTTCTCCACTTAATATGGGCTTCCTTGCCTTTTATAATCAATTTTAAGTGTTCTATGTAAATGAATGATATTTATTCTTTCTCTTTCATATTTATGGATAATTGGTTATATTTTCCCCAGCCTATGATTGAAATTTTGGTTATCTATATTAGTATCTTTTGTCATGAAAGCATTTTAAGTGTTGCAGAATGAAATAACTTTTTAAAGGCCTTTGAATTTTCTACTTTAGTAAATGTTGCTAAGAAGTATATTTAAAATACAAGACTTTACACAGACTCTCTTATTCAGTCCACTGTATTTATTTTTTATTATTTAATATATTTCATATACTACATTAGTGCTCTAGTAGCCTAGTGGCAGGAAGCTGCGCTGCAAACCCGAAAGCATGTGGTTCAAGGCCACAAACTGCTCTGTAGGAGAAGGATAGGCAGTCTCCTCCCATGTAATTAACTGCCTCTGAAGACCCACTGTAGGGTCAGCTATGGATCTGTTCTGACTGTACAGTATACAACAACAATAACAACAAGTACATTAGATAAAGTTTCACATATAAATATTTCTGAATTTACTTTACATTAATATAAATGTTATAGAAATATATTAAAAAGTTATTAATTCAATGAAGTAAGTATATGTGGTACTTACTATGCCAGATAATTTTGTTCTAGGTACAGGGAATTACAGTGAAAACCCATTTCTATCTACATAAGTTCCTGGAATTTGCATTATGAATGTGTGTTGGGAGTAGGAGACTGAACAAGTAGAAATCAAAAGAAGTGTAATAAAGACAAGTGTTGAGGAAGAAAGTAAAGCAAACAAGTGTTAGAGAGATGTGACACTATTTTAGAAAGAATAGAAAAGGAGAGCCTCCATGAAAGAGATCAAGAAGATGTACCAAACCATTTCTGAGCAAAGTCCCTGAGATGAAAACATGCTGACTGTGTTTGAGGAAGAGCAAGAAAACCAATGTAGTTTGAGCTGAATGAAAGCAGATGAGGTTGAAGGGAAGAAGGAAAAGTCTTTGATGTTGGGAGTCCCATTGGCCATGGCCAGGGTCTTGACCATGGTCTGAGATGGGGAGATACTGAAGGTTTGAAAAGAGGAGAGACATGGTTTAACTTATCCTTAAAAATTATCAGTGAGACTCCCAAAAATTAGAAACAGGGACCCAAACAGATACTTACATTGCAGTGTTTACTGTAACATTATTAACAATGGCCAAATGGTGGAAACAACCCAATTATATATCACTTATTGAGGAATGGATGGACAAAGTGTAATATATACATACAATGGAATATTTGCTCTGAAAAGGGTCAAAGTTTTGATATGACATGGTCTTTGCAATTACATGCTATGCCTCAGAAAGTAGGACAATGACTAGGGATGATAGAAGGAGAATTGATGCCTTTGAGCTGTGATGCTGGGAAGAGTATTAAATACCATGGACTGCTAGGAGAACAAACAGGTTTGTCCTGGGCAGAATGAAACCAGGCTTCTCCTTGGAGGCAAGGATTCTGAAGCTTTGTTTGATATACTTTGGGCATGTTCCAAGAAGAGACCAGTCATTGGAGAGGGACATCATGCTTGGGAGAGTGGAGGGACAGCACAAGAAAGAAAGAGCCTGGATGAGATAAATTGACTCAGAGACTGGAGTAATGAGAGTAGGTGTGTTAGAGACAATAAGGTTGGCTTAGAATAGAGCAAGATCCAGAGCTGTTGTACATAAGGCAATGAGTTTCATGTGACTAGATAACACATAACAACAACAATTGGGCCATGAAGCACAGTAGCCAGGATGGTAGATAGTTAAGTGCTCATGAGTCAGGGGATAAAAGGCCAGGTTGATCTTTAGGAATTTATGAATAGTCAAGTACAGAAAGCTGTTTTTGGATGAGAAAGGGTACTTCTGAGAATAAGGCTGACAGAGGCCGTGGGGAACTTTGAATGTGGGAGGTATTAGGTAAGTGGCCCTTAATGTTCTCTTCTTTGATTATCTGCTATGCACCCTCTGGCCCCCACAGACAGTTTTGCCGTGGGGCTCAACTCAGAACTATGAATCGGCCCAATGTGCTGGATCGCTGCCGAGGGAAGATGCTGGTGCACAGCCTGGTATGGACTTGGCCGAGGGAAAAGGGGTTAAAGGAGAACTACCTGGGGCCCTCCTCTTGTGCTCTGTTCCTGCTTTTCCAGAATCTGCTGGCCAGGCAAGGCTTGAGGCTACTGCAAAACCTACAAGCAGGCAATGTGCAGGAGAAAGCAGCACTGGCCAAGAAACTCCTAGCAAAACTCCGCGTCCTGGCCCAGGAGGTAATGCCTCACTCACCCCACTTCCCCACCCCTAAAAGATCTTACTCCTAAGCATTAAGCCATTCTAGAAATCTCTGGGCCAAGGTGGCTTAACATTTGTCCTGTGGTATGATGCTGGAACTGTGGGATCCACAGTCCTGGGCAAATGACCAAGTTGCATTTGGAGCAGCTAAAGGTGAGGATGAGAGACCCAGGGCCTGACAGTGGATCTTTTTTAATGGATATTTGGAGGTAGTTACATTCCCTGGGGAATCTCTGAGTATATCTGAAGGGTAAAGAGTATTCACATTTTGAGGGGCACCTCCTCTTAAGCATTGGCATATATTATCTTATCTGATCCTACCAACAACATTAAGAGATTACTCTCTTTGACAGCAACTGAAGCAGAGGGAAAAAGTGGCCCACCGTGTTACCTTTGGAAAGTGGCCAAGCTCGAATTCAAAGGCAATTTGACTTTGAAACTCAGCCTTTCTGAAAAGTTTCTCAAAAGGAGGTTTTGACTGCTTGGGCTAGCTTGTCCTTGGGTGCACTTTGTGAGAAGTTGACTGTTGCTCTAAGACTTTTCGAGCCTAAGCTGGGGTTTAAACCATCAGTTGCTGTCAAGTCATTTCCATTTCCTGGTGAGCAGCATGCATGTCAGAGAAGCACTGTGCCACACAGGGTTTTCAATGGAGGGTTTTCAGAAGTAGATTATCCAGGCTTCTTATCCATGGTGACTCGAGCCGCCAAACTTATTTTTACCAACCAAGTGCATTGACTGCACCATTCGGGGACTCCAGTTGGAATTAGTTCAGTGTCAAAGAATGAAGAGCATGTGCAGAAGCACAGAATTTGAAAACTTGGGGCCTGGAAAACAGCGTTAAGAGAGACAGGTTAGAAAGCTTTGTCATATTTTATTTCAGTGAAACATCATTTTATTTATCGGTAATAAAAACCTCTTACTGATAGCTGATGTTTTAAAATCTTTTATGACTTAAATATGGAACCCAAAATAATATAACTTAATTTTTCAAAGCCCTGGTGGCAATGTAGGCTAATCTTTGGACAGCTGATCAAAAATCACCAGTTCAAACCCATCAGCTGCTCCACAGAAGAAATAAATATGTTACAATTTGACAGCAATGAGTTATTTATTGTTACCAAAAGAACAAATAAATATTTCTTGGAGGAAGTACAACCAGACTATTACTTAGAGGCCAGGATGGTGAATTCAGTCTTACTTGAATTTCAACATTCTTTCCTCTGAAAACTCAAGCATGTATGTTTTCAAGAGGGGCCAGTCCTTGGAAAAGATAACATGTTGGGAAAATGGAAGGTCAGTGAAGAGAGGAAGACTCTCAACAAAATAGATTAACACAATGACTACCACAATGGGCTCAAGCATGATCACGATGATTGTCCAGGCTGGGTTTAGAAGAGGCTGTGGTATTAGGGATATTACAGCTAGTGTTAGATGGACCTTAGCTGAAAGCAGATCGTACCAGAGGAATGTCTATCTGTGTTTCATTGACTATGCAAAGCCTTTTGCCTGTATGGATCATAACAAACTGTGGCTGACTCTCAGAAGAATGGAAATCCTAGAACACTTGATTGTGCTTACACAAAACATATACTTGGACCAGAAGGCAGTCATCAGAACAGGGCAAGGAAATGCTGCATGGTTTTAAACTGAGAGGGCTGTGCATCAGGGATGTGTCCCATCACCATACCTTCTCAAACTATATGTGGAACAGATCATCTGGGATGCTGGGCACTATGGGGAGGAATGTGGTGGCATCAAGATTGGAGGAAGACTCGTCAACAACCTGCATTATGCAGGATAATAAGTTATGTGTTAGGCAACCTTGTTTGCTGAAACTGAGGAGGACCTGAAGTACATGCTGCAGAAGGTCAAGGGCTGCAGCCTTCAATATGGATTGAAGGTCAACATCAAGAAAATAAAGATTCTCACCCCTGGGCCAATTGGCAGCATCATAATAGACAGTGAAGAGATGAAAATTGTTAATGGCTTTAGTTTGCTTGGCTACACAACCAATAAATACTCTTGGTACCAGCATCCAGGAAATCAAAAGACAAATTGCATTGGGAATGTCTTCTGTCAGGTACATCTCCAAAGTTTTGAAGAGCAACAATGTCAGTCTGGAGATTAAGGTGCACCTGATCCAGGCCACGGTCTTCACAATTATACGCTATGCATCAGAAAGCTGTACAATAACTAGGGATGATAGAATGAGAATTGATGCCTTTGAGTTGTGGTACTGGAGAAGAGTATTGAATATACCATGGACTGCTAAGAGAACAAACATTCACCTGGAAAGGGTGAAAGCAGGCTGCTCCTTGGAGGAAAGGATTCTACAGCTGACTGACATACTTTGGGCATGTTGCAAGGAGGACCAGGCTTTGGAGAGGAACAGTATGCTTGGGAGGATGGAGGGAAAGAGGAAGACCCTTGATGAGATAGATTGATTCAGTGACTGGAGTAATGAGGGTAAGTGTGTCAGTGACAATAAGGTTGGCTCAGGATAGATCAGGATTCAGAGCTGTTGTACACAGGGTCGCTATGAGTCACAGGCAACTTGTTGGCACATGACAACAATTTTAGTTTTTTACTGGGAGGTCAGTTCCTTAGCTTATTACTGAAAATACTTGGACTCTAGATGATGGCTTTGGAGAAGAGAGAGAGTCATGTTATATTTTAAAGAGACTGTTTCTAGCCTTCATTTGCTTACCAGGGAACATTTGAAGGCTGTCATGTCCCAGGCTCTGGAGATCCAACCTATGTCATGTTTCTTATCCTGTTGGAGCTTATGTTTTAATAAGTCAAACAAAATCTGTATATTAATAAGAAAAATAATTACAATCTATTGAAATCACTAAGAAAGAAGTTACAGCATCTAAGGGAGTAAGAAGGTAACTTACTTAGATAAGGTGGTCAAGAAAAGCTTCTCTGGCAAGCTTTGGTAGTCTAGTGGCAAGAAGCTGTACTGAAATCCCAGAGGTGAGTGGTTCAAATCCACCAGATGCTCTGCTGGAGAAGGAGGGACAATCTCCTCCTGTACCAGTCAGATCTGATTTGATGGTACACACAATAAAAAACAAACAAACACCTCTGAGGATATCCCATTTAAATTGAGACCCAGAGGGTGGAAAGAATGATTAGTCATTCATGGTAGAGAATGGGTTTGGAGGAGAAAATTCAAGCAAGTATTCTGCGTACACAAGGCTGTTTCAGTCATCTGAACAAGAGCTGATAGTACCATGGACTAGGGCAGTGAGGAATGGAGAGAAAGGGTAATTGACCAGACGGGATGTTAAAAAAGAAAGATGACAGCAGTTCTACTTTTGGCTGACATGAATGGGTATTTTGTGTGGAACGTCCAAAAAGGATCTGGTTGGGGAGTAAGGAATGGTAAAGAAGTCAGTTGAGCATTGAGTCTGAGGCCATCTGTGGAACACCTGAGGGACTCAGGGGGAAGTCAGAGCAGGGGAAGCTATGGGAGCAGATGTTCTCAGCTCTCAGTTCGCTCCTGTGACCAAGTCTTTGCTCTGCAGCCCCAGCCACCCCTCCCTGATGTGCTGGTCTGGATGTTCAGCGGACAGCGCCGTGTGGCCTGGGCCCGGATTGCAGCCCAGGATGTGCTCTTCTCTGTGGTGGAGGAGGAGCGCGGCCAGGACTGTGGCAAGATCCAGAGTCTGCTACTCACGGTGAGGGGGACCGGGGCACCGGCACAGGGGTGATGAAGCTCACAGAGCAAAGGAGGCACTGAGATTGGAGGTCATTGGCTCCATCCAGGTTTCCTCCAACTCTTTAAATCATCTGAAAAGCTGAAAGGGATATGGCAGCTTTGAAGTGAGCTTGCTCTGGGTCTGCACAAGCCTATATACTGACCAACAGATGGGTAGGGTAGTAAAAATGGAGTGTGGGCAGTTAGGCCCTTACAAGTACACTTGACTTGTTGTGGGGTGGAGTCATAGCTGACCTCTCAGCGGGTTTTCAGAGGTCGTTAATGGAACAGAAGGAGATTGCTCATCCTTCTCCTACAGCTGGTTTAGGGCAAAAATATTTATAAGTGTATGGTCTTTGGAAAAGACATCCAAAGCATGAGAAATTGTGTTCCTTGGGGTAGAGAGAAGGGAATGTAAATGTGTTAGGGATAGGGTAGGGCCAAAGAGGGTGAATTTTGCGTGTTGGAGTACAGAGTTCAGAGTATAATTTGAGGGTATGAGCTGTTAGGTGGAGAAAGTGATAATGTTAGGGTCCAAGAGATAGGAAATGGGAAGCTAAGGATAATGGAGTTTAGGATGGAGAGTAATGATCAAATGGAGTATAAGAGTGGAGACATAGGGAATAACTTTTGAGTTAGAGAGTCAGAATACAGTTTAGGGATGCAGAGAGTAGAGGTTTGCCTTGAGGGAGCAGGCCTGTTGGTCTTAAAGGCAGTATCTGAGGCTCTAACTTGCCTCCACTCCAAACAGGCACCAGGGGCCACCCCTGGTGAAGTCTGTGCCAAGCTGGAGCTCTTTCTGTGGCTGGGCCAGGGAAAGCAAGCCAAGGCCTGCACCTCAGAGCTACCCTTAGACCTGTTGCCTGAGCCCTCAGCTGGGCTGCCCCGGAGCCTGTTTCGGGATGGTAAGTACAAGGAGAGGGAGTGGCACAGGGCCCAGCTTATTTGTCCAAGGTGTGAGGCTAGGTACCCACCTACAGGCCAGGAGTGACCTGCTGTCAGGGATTCTAGTGGTCTCCTGAGTAAACATGGTTCCTCCCTTCTCCCACACACCAGACTTCAGTTATTTCCAGCTCCGGGCTCACTTGTATCAGGCCCGAGGTGTGCTGGCAGCAGATGACAGTGGCCTCTCGGACCCCTTTGCTAGAGTCCTCATCTCTACCCAGTGCCAGACAACCCAGGTGAGGACTGGGATAGGATGGGAGTGCTTGTGGGTTGGGTGCTGGGAGATAAGGTAGGATGAGGTCTGAGCTTTTCCCTGAAGCCCTATTTAAGACTCTTTTCCTGCCCTGGGTTTTTGGAGTGGGAAGTTAGAACTTGATTTAGATTATTATTTGGAATCAGAGAGCCTTAGGGGTGAAGAGCTAGTTCTGAGGTTGACTTTAGAACTAGGCTGTAAGGGTGCCAGATTGTAAAAAGTAATTGACTGGGGGAGAAAGGATAGATTCAAACACCAAGCTGGATATAATTTTTATCTCTACCATATTGTAGTAGACACTTATCAACATAGTTAAGTTCCAAAGATCAGGTCATTATATGAAAATCAGCATCATGAAAAAATGGAAGATGACCTCATCATATCACAAAAAAATGGAGGATGATTGCATTATAACACAATTGCCAGATTTTTTTTTCTTTCTTGTTGTATACCATTACATTAGATCTGACTGCCACAGGAGATTGCCTCTCCTTCTCTAGCAGGAGACTGGTGGACTTGAATTGTGCACCTAAGGGATTGCAGCACAGCTTCTTGACACTAGGCCACCAGAGCTCCCTTAACAACTGCCAGATTTTATTGTTACATAACTAACCACTGAGAATCATGGGTCAACCAAGATTACACAAAACCTTAACCATCAATGCCAACATTACTCACACTTAACACTTTGACAGTTGTTACTTTAGGTGTACATCACTAAAGCACAAAATAAATAGATTTTTTTAACTATTGCTATAAATGTGAAAAGGAGCTCTGGTGGCATAGTATATAGGGAGTTGAACTATTAACCTAAAGGTTGCAGGTTTGAGTCCACCAACAGCTGTAAGAAAGAAGGGCAATCTCCTCCCAGGCAATTTACAGCCCAAGAAAACCTGCTAGAAGGTCAGCTTATGAGTTGGTTCTGAGTCAACTCGACAGAAATTAATTTGAAGTTTTTTATAAATGTGAAATATCAGATAATATTGTTATGCACCGTAAAGTTGGAACTGACTCATAGCTGACCCTTCAGCAGATTTTTCAGAGGCTGTAAATTGCATGGAGGAGATTGTCCATCTTTCTCTACAGAGCTAGCTTGTGGATTCCAGCCACATGTCTTTGGGTGGGCAGTGCAACTTCTTATCCAGTAAGCTACCTGAGCCCCTTGTCAGATAAGAAGGGAATCGATAAATGAGGAGTAAAGGTATTTAAATTATTAGAGTCGGGGGCATTAGCCTGGAATATATGTTATAAGACTTCTTCTGAGACCTGCTGTCACTTCCTTCCCTGCCTGACCCCCAAGGTCCTGGAGCAGACGCTGAGCCCACTATGGGATGAGCTCCTGGTGTTTGATCAGTTGATCGTGGATGGGAGGAGGGACCACCTGCATGAGGAGCCCCCCTTGGTAGTCGTCAATGTCTTCGACCACAACAAGTTTGTGAGTGTGACCTACACGTCCGCCCCCTGGGTTGTGAGCCTCTTCCCTTCTTGTCTTCACCGCTCTGCTCCCTGCAGGGTCCCGCTGTGTTCCTGGGCAGGGCTCTGGCCCCCCCAAGAGTAAAGCTCATGGAGGAACCCTACCAGCGCCCTGAACTGCAGTTCTTCCCCTTGAGGAAGGGGCCCCAGGCAGCCGGAGAGCTCATTGCCACCTTTGAACTCATTGAACTGGACTACAGCGGCCAGCTTGAGGTCAGAGCCCCTGGCTTATTTGGTCCAAGCTTCAAGCCTCTTCTTTAATTCCATTAGGTATGACATGTCCCTGAGTTACCCTACCAGTCCCTTGACCCCAAAAGATGTCAGTCTGTCTTAGAATTACTTCAGTGGACTTCCTGGCTCAGAGAACACTATAAGTAGAAATGCCCTAGGTTCACTTTGCCAAGTCTCCATCCTCAGAAAACCCAAGTTGTGGGTTCTTCCTAGACCTCCCTCCCGAATGTCTCAGACACTCACCTTCCTTTCCCGTGCATGCATGGCTCCTGCGACACTCCTCATCCCACCACTTCAGGATTACTCAGTTTCTCCACATTTAAACCCTTCACGTAGCCCTTGCTCACTTTTAACCCCAAGCCTTCCCTTCTTTGGACTTACTCCTCCTTGACCTCTGACCTCTTAATCCTCGGCAGCCCTCAGTGCCTGTTGATGTGGAGCCTCAGGACCTGGCCCCCCTAGTCCAGCCCCTTTCTGGACGCATGTCTCTACCACCCAGTGTGCGGCCAGTGCTCAAGGAGTTCCATGTTGAGGTAGCCCCAGGCACTCCCAGACTCCTCATTCCTGAGTGTCTCTCTGCCGGTCACAGTCCTCTGAATCTCTCATCTCCCTACCTAGGTGCTGTTCTGGGGTCTGAGAGGCCTCGGCCGTGTGCACCTGTTTGAAGTGGAGCAGCCCCAGGTTGTTCTGGAGGTGGCTGGGCGGCGTGTGGAGTCTGAGGTCCTGGCCAGCTACCGAGAGAACCCCAATTTCACGGATCGTGTCAGGCATCTGACGGTGGTGAGGGTGCAGGCTGTGAGGCAAGGAGTGTGGCCTGAGAGGTGGAAAAGGGGCAGTGGGGAGGCCAATTCCCAGTTGGCTACCTCACATTAATCTAGAGACTGGCAAACTTTCTCGACAAAAGGCCAAGAGTAAACATTTCCAACTTGGTGAGATATATGATATCTGATGCAACTACTCAACTCTGTCATTATAATACTAAAGCGGTCATAAGCAGTATATAAACAAATGAACATGACTGTGCATCAATGCAACTTTATTTACAAAGATTGGCAGTGGGCTGGATTATGTCCTATAGACCACCCTTTGCTACGCCTGAATGGATCCATGAATGAGGTCTTTTGCCCATATTTTATGAGTGGACTAAGCATTATGAATGATGAGTCCTCCAGTTAGTGAGAGAACCTAGTCTCTGAGACACAGGGATTAAGAAGAAAAAGGGAGTCATTGTGTAATTTGCACTAACTGTGGCTTAGACTTTGGAGTCAAATTCTGACATACTATTTATGACCTAACCCAAATTACTTATCTTCTTGAGTTTCACCTTTTCTAGTTTTTAAAAAATTTTATTATTTTTGTGTGTGTGTACTATCAAATCAGATCTGACTGGTAAAGGAGGAGGTTGCCCCTCCTCCTCCAGCAGAGCATCTGGTGGATTTGAACCACATACTTCTGGGATTGCAGTGCATCTTGTTACCACTAGGCCACCAGAACTCTCTACCTTTTCTTTTTTTTTTTAAGTTTCATCTTTTCCATCTGTAAAATATAGGGAGCTCTGGTGGCCTAGTGGATAAAGAGTTGTGTTGGCATCAAATCCACCAGCTGCTCCTAGAGAGAAAAATGGGAATTCTCCTCTTGTTTGATTTACAACCTCTGAAAACCTGCTGAGGGGTCATCTGTGAGTCAGTTCTGACTTGATGAGTTGTTGTTTATCTATATAGTATAGATAACAAATAGAAAAGAAAAAAAAAGATTGGAAGGAAAACCACCATGTGTCTCCTTGCAGGGATGCTGTGAGCAGCCATGGAGAGAAATGATGTTAGTAAAGGGGCTTTGTAAGCTGAAAAATGCTGTGCCTGTGGGAGGGCCATTGAGACAAAACACGGATTCCAGATCATAGGGGGGGTCAAACAGAGAACAACAACGTATCATTTTATGACTGTTTCAGCTGTTACGTTTTTCAGTGTCAAAGCTTCGCTGTGCAGCCAGATGATGCAACTGAGAGCACGTGGCTCATTCAAGCCGAGGGTGCTTCCCCTCATTTCTCACTTCATCTTGCATTTGAGGGGAACCTGTCTCTTTCTCCATGGTCCTTGGTTTCTACCAACTCAGTGTGAGATGAGCTATTTTATTTTGGGATAAACTTCCCTCAAAAATAATTTTATAAACATAAATTCTAAAAAAAACATTTTCAATTCATTTCTTCCACAAAAAAAGTACTGTAATCACCTGCCAAAATTTTAGGAACCAGAGATCTAGTAGCTAAAGTGTATCTCCTGTAAAAAGCATGTTATTGCATCTTGTCTTTTCAATCCATTCTCGTAATATCAGTGTTTGACTGTCGTGTTTGCTACAGTCACATTTAATGCTATTATTGATGTGACTGGATTTGTGTCTGCCACTTGACTATTTGTTTTATACATGTCTCATGCATTTTTTCCCTCTGTCCCTCTGTTACTACTTTCTTTTGCTTTAAATAGATATCGTCACAACCTAATTTGCATTAATGCTAATTTAACACAAATAAAATAGAAGTGTCTTTTTTGTGATATCATGATTATATATATAATGAAACTTGTGAGAACCAGAATTGTCTTGTTTTTCCAGGTCTAAAAGTTTTTCACTGTGAAATTTATAGATCTATACTATATATTGGAGCTCTGGTGGCCCAGTGGTAAGAAACTGCCATAATTGCAAAAGCACATGCTCAAATCCACCAGCTGCTCCACAGAAGAGAAGAGATATGAGGGAACCCCCATCTCTTCCCAAGTGATTACATATATA